GTCCAATTTGTCATATCGGTCAGATCGGCCAAACATTTCAAATCACATGATTGGTTGTAGTTGATCGGCGCAGCATGAATCACGCCTTCAATGCTTATGGTCTTTTCTTTTTCATGAAAGTCATGATGCTTTTCATAAAATTGATTCTATATTGAAATGAACTTATTTTTGTTCTTTTTGTAGTTTTTTAATAATTTTAAATACACCTACATGTGCACAACCCACTAATGTTTTCTATCTTTTATGCCAAGCTTCAACAGAATTTTGGATTCTAGGAAATGCATATTCAATATTATCAATAACTGACCAAAGAAAAGGAGGAAACATTAGTGCTAACTGACTAATATTTTTACTTCTTATTGTTCATCTTACTCTACCTTAAATATAATAAATTTCAAACCAATCCATAATATCATTTGTTTCTTCTAGCATATTAATTCTCAATTCATCAAATATATTAGGAATATCATCTGGATATAAAAAAGCAAATGCAGGTATATGCCTAATTAATAAACTAAAATTTTCATCAGTTCCATTTTGAATAGTAAGGCCAAAATTCTGCACTTTACAATAGATATTTTGAGACAAATGAAAATGATATCCTTTATTTTGAACTTGGAATTCTTTATGAATTACATTAATTGCAGCTTTTTCAAAATTAGTTAAGACAAATTGTAATTGTAAATCAATATTATGCTTATCACTAAAATCAATTAAATCTTGAAATAATCTTTTATAATATTCTTCAGATTTGCTTGACATTAAGACAATAACAAGAAGCATAATTCTTGAATTTTCACTTTCTCTAATACATCTATGAATTGTATATAATTGCTTAAATATAGTTAAAACTAAGGTTACTTGTCTAAATTCATTTTGGATTTAGCAAAATGGTTAAATCTTTAGCTTTGCTAAATTTTTACTAAGTATTTGATATAGTTTTGCCATTTTTATAAGCTTTGATATAGTTTTACCTTTTTTCAAATTTTGCAGATTTTTTAATAAGGTTTTAATATAATTTAACCAAGTTTTACTTTTACTATTTAGATGTCTGTCTAAACTTTTAATTTCATCCAGCAACCTTAGTTGGAACAGTTTGAAAGTTCCATTCATAATCCAAATAGATGATTATGCTATACAATTAGTGTTAGTAAAAGTTGTAAACATTAGTATCCTTTCATCATCAATAGTTGAATCTTTAACTAAAAAATCAGCATCATTTAAAGTTTTTTTCATATCTTCAGGAATAATTATACTTTCCAAAGATTGTGATTCTATAGGAATATCAATATGTCGAACTCACCTAATTGTTTGATGAAGTGCATTATGTGATAGAAGGTAAGGATATACTTTATTTATACTATTTGATATAATAGTTTAAATAACTTGCACAGGTTGATCATTACTTTACTAAGCCCTTTCTTTTAATATTTTGATTTTTTTTAATAACTTTAACTCAGCTAGCTTCTGCAGCATGATTATGTTTAGAAGTTTTTACAAAATGATGTTGGTCTCCAGTAAATATAGTAATTGCTCATCTAATATACTTTAAAATATCACGCTTTTTATAATATCAATAATATTTATGATCTCTATTTTTATCTTTAAACATCAAGTAACCATAAACATTAATTTTTTCTTTATTACAAATAAAATAAACAACTTTACAGATATATATTATGAAAAGAGATAATATGTTTTATTTTTATAGTATAATAAAAAAACAAGAGCGAAAAATATTTTTTTGAAAAACTTTAATTAATTTTAGTTAGCATTTTGCAATTTAAATTTCTATTTATATCTCAAACAATACATACTATTTACATAAACATATGATTGCTAAATTGAAAATTCCTTATTTTTTTTTGTTATAATTAAAAATTTCTCTTTGAAATGTAAAGATATATTTATTTTATTTATTTATTTATTTTTTATTAATGATTAATTTATAATATAAAATTTTATAAAAAAATAAACTTTGAAGAATGATTTGTATCAATAAAATAATACTAGCAGTAAAACTTTTTATGTGTTGGTAAAATGATTATCATTAAAATAATCATTAGTAAAATATTTATCAGTGAAATAAATATGTTGGCGAAATGATCATATTAGGAAAAATGACTGTTAATAAATAGTTGTCGGTAAAATGAACTTGTCTATAAAATATTTATTGGTGAAATAATAGTTAGTGAAATGTTTATTAGTGAAATGAATTCATCTCAAATTAAGTAATACAACCCTATAAGAAATCGAAATAAGGAAATGATACGTTTTTTATAAGGTTTGTATACGTAATTAATGATTCTATAT